TAACGGCAGAGCAGTCCGCACGCGAAGCTGACGTCTGGTCTCGTGCGGTTGGCCCAGGTACAGGAGCGAGCCCACGAGGTTGCGGAAAGGCAGGCGTCGGTCGGGCTGCTCGCTGATGCTGGAGGCGTCGATGCCAACACGCATGGGCGTGGACACGCTGGCTGCCGCTGCCAGGTTGTAGTCGTTGACGATGTCGTTGATGGCCTGTGTCTGCGCAATGTGCAACACCCCGTCAGCTGGTGACGTCAGGTGAAGGCCCAGGTACCAGGTGAGCGGGCCCAGGTCCTCTGCCTCGAAGCTCTCCTTGATCTGCTGCTTGCAGGCACGGATGTGGCGCTCGCTGCTGCCGCTGATGATGAGGTCGTCGACGTACGTGATGATCCATGTGCGCTGTCCGTCGTCGTGGAGCTTGGTGAAGAGGCAAGCGTCGACGTTGCTCTGCGCCCATCCGTTGGTCTTGAGGAAGGTGTGCAGCTTCTTGGCCCATGCACGGCCAGCTTGCTTGAGACCGTAGAGCGGCTTGAGCAGCCGGCACACCTTGCCCGCGTAGCGTTGAGCGCCGTCGCCGATGTCGGTGAAGTGCGGCGGCAGCTCCATGTACAGCTCCTCCTTGAGATCAGCCTGCAGGTAAGCCGACTTGAAGTCAAGCTGGTGCAGCTGGTGCTGTCGTTGCAGGGAGACGGCGAGTACAGTGAGGATGGTCTTGGCTGCTGGTGTTGGGGCGTAGGTCTGGTCGAAGTCGATGCCCGGTCGCTGGCTGAAGCCCTTGGCGACCCAGCGTGCCTTGAAGCGCGTCGGCGTGCCTTCCGCATCACGCTTCACCTTGAAGACGAAGCGTGACTTGAGAGGCGTGTGCTGCCGTGGCACGGCGCTGCGTGGGATGAGCTTGATGACGCCGTTGCGCTCCATGGCTCCGATCTCCTCCAAGCACGCCTGAGTCCACTGCTTGCGTTGCTGGCTCTTAAGTGCCTGCTTGATGCTTGCAGGCTCCGTGAGGCTGGTGTCGCCACTGCTGC